TCATTGAAAAGATTAAATGAGTTACTGGAAATAAAATGCTTGGAAGAGTGTCACAGCAAGTATTCAATATATGTTAGCTGTTATCACATTCTGTATCCTCTGCTTAATCCTGATTAACATTGAATGCTTGTGACAATCTGTAGCACTGTTTTAATGCATCGAAAGGAGAAAAGTAAGAAGAGGAAAAGGAGGAAGAAAAATAGCCCTTTACTGGAAATCTTTTTTTAACCCAGGAATTAACTAGAATTGATTTGTATATCTAGATTTTTAGCTTGAGCAATGCAAACCTCTTCTTGTAATTTGATTTGCATAGTTGGCACACACCCTACGGAGGCAGATGGTGGCCAAATACCAAGAACAATTTAGAATTGTTGCCAAGAATTCTTGTTACCTGATTTGGAAACTCCCAGGAGGAACTTCTGGGCTTTGTACTGTTCCACTCTACACAAAGGATGTGCTTCATAAGAATGTTCAAATAAATTAATGAATGGGAGGGCGTGAGACTTATTCTAAATGTGTGAAAGCTAGTGACCCTGCTTTATAACTTCACAAAGGAAAAACTCAAGAAGAAAACAGAATATGCTATTGGTCCCAATGGAGCTTGTTTCTTTAAGTAACTTCTTAGAGCACTGTATAGCTCTACCATTTTCCACTATAAGATTTAGAAGCAGCCTTGCTAATTGCTGTCCTACTGGGCAGTTGTACCTAAATATTTTTTATGTTTCTCTCCATCAGTAATAAATGCTTGTCTACCTCATATATGTGTATTTATTTATTTGTAGCTTATGTGCATACAATATTACCATACTAACAGTATGAACATTATAAAACTTATAAAATATAAATTGAGGAGAATGAGATGAAGATGAAATAAATAATATTTTTATATGTTGATTTGCTAATTGTAAATAGCTTTGTAATACTGTTAGCTACTATTTAAAGACCCAACATGCACTTAAAGTGAGGATTATCTTCAGTAACAATGGCATAAATTTGCATCTCAAGTCATCTTGTAATTGTGAACTTTCTTAGAAAATTTTTTGTTAAAACTTCTTATGTGGCCTGAATTTATACCTTAGAATTTGGCTGATAAGAACTTGCAGTTGGAGTAGAACACATATCAGATCAGCACTTATTTTTTTTGTTGTTAGGTTGTATGCATATTTCTAGCATTGTTTTATGGTATCAGGTTCTTTTATAGACATTTCCCCTTTTTGTCTCATTTTAGAATATTTAGTTTAAATAAAGCTAGATAACATCATTTATGAATTCACTTAATTGAGTCTACATTCAATGCAGTAAATCCCAGTAAACTGGGATTAAAAATGAGGCTGTCCCTGTCCATCATGCACCCTGTCCTCAGGACGCTCCATGACACGTGACTGTCTGACATGAGTGAGAGTAAAGAACCAATGTCAATCTCTACATAAACCTTAATAAAGATTAATTTCTGTCTCATTTTATAATATGTAACAGTAAATATTAACGGGAGTACTAATGTTTTCTTCTAGCACCTCAATAGATCATTTGCAGACTCACTGGGATTCATCTGGTCCCCTGAAGGGACCGATCATGAAAGAAAGCCCAGAAGCTGAGGAAGGAGGAAAAAATCTCAAGGATAAGGGCTAAAAATTTTTAGTCCAGACCCACATATAATAATGTATTTCATGTTTTTTTTGTAACTGAACTTTCTTAATTTTTTAACTTTTAAATTTTTTTATGTTTTATTTCAGCATATTACGGGGCACAGATGTTTAGGTTACATATATTGCCTTTGCACCACCTGAGTCAGAGCTTCAAGCGTGTCCATCCCCCAGACGGTGTGCACTGCACCCACTAGGTGTGAATATACCCATCCCCTCCTTCCCCCCATCTGCCCGACGCTCGATGAATGTTACTACTTTATGTGCACGTTTAAGTGTTACTAACTCCACTTCCCACTTCTATCAAGTAGAAGAAAACTTTATTTAGTCACTCTTCTTCAAGTTCTGTATAATTTGTGATTATTGAGGGTTTGGGATTGTGATTTTTTGAGGGTTTCAATCAATTAAATTGTGATTATTTTAGGGTTTCAATAAATTAATTCAAGGATTTCCTCTCCCCCCCTCCTCCATGATGTTTCGTCTAATATCTGAAACAGGGGGGAAAGATGAAAGGGCAAGGGGCCAGGAGCCAGAAAGTAACTTCTGGTTGTTATGGGCCTACCCACAGGAAAGAACAGGAGCTGGCAAGAAAGAGTTACAAGACTTTGGCTGGAGCAACTGATTGAATTGTAATTCCACATAGTGTATTGAGGAAACTAGGGAAAAACTGTGTGGGAAGGAGTAAATCAGTTTTTCTCTTTTGGACATAAGTTTGAGATGCCTATTATACATTCAAGGCAGATATCAAGCAGACATTTGAATATGGCAGTCTGGACTTCATACGAGAGGTTCATGGTTATAACATACATCTAGGAGCAACCAGATCTTTAATTGATCTTTAAAGCCATGGAATTAATTTAGGTCATTTAATCCTTGCATTTTAAGGAGTGAATGTGAGCAGTGCAGAGAAATGATTTAAAGACTGAGCCTCAGGAACTTTCTAGCATTTAGAAATTAGGAAGAGTAGAAGGATCCAGACAAGAAAGCTGAGAAAGAGGCCAGTGAAGCGGGAGGAAAACAAGGATAGTGTCATATATCAAAAGCCAAAGGAAGAAGCACTTCAAGAAGGAGTGAGTGGTTACCTGTCAAGTACTGATGAGTGAGTATAGACAAGTCCTTTAAAAAGTTTTGTCGTAAAGAAGGACCCAGAAATTGAAACAGTAGTGGAAGATTATGTGGAGTCATGAAAGCTTTTTTTTAAGATGGGTTATAGCATGTTGGTATGCTAATGAGAATCATGCAGTGGGTAGGGATGATTGTAGAAACAAGGCACTTAGGTGAGCAAGAGAACACAGGACCTAGGATATAAGTAAAATTTTGGGTTAGATGTGAGTAGAATATGTTATATTGCTACAGCTGCATGTGTGTTGGTGGACATAGTGATAGAAGAAGTCATCTTCTGATTGCTTCTATTTTTTCATTGAAATTTTAAGTGACTTCATTAGTAGATTGAAGAGGGAAAGATATTTAAGGAGAGGGAATGTATGAAATAGATACCTCAAAGAGTAAGGGAAGGAATTTATTCAGGAAATGTACTGGGAGGCATAAAAGTATTGAGGTCTCACTTCAGAATCATGGTTATAAATGGAAATTATTATATTTACAATATAATAATTTATGTGGATTATAGTGAGATATAATATAAATTAATAATATAAAAATAATAAAAATGGGTATGAGTTTTTTTATTTGTTCAAGTACAGGCATGAATAGGAAGAGAGGTGGATTTTACCAGGGCTAGGTTTCACAGGTGAGAACAATGGAGAGAGAGGGTCAAGTGACTTCATAATATTTCCAAGAAAGTACAGCAATGGATCATGAAGTGTAAGCCAAATATTGATAGAAGTGAGAAAGTGAAAGAGATAAGACACAGGGAAGAAAGGGTAAAATGGTAGAATGAATTCACTGGAGATCTCCAGTGGTTCAAAACCTTATTGAAATGGCACTATTAGAAGTAGTGAACTGGAAAAAAATAGGTAATTGTTAGAGAATGAGAATCTAGAAGTGGCATAGTTATTGGTCATGTCAATATGTGGAAAATGACCAGAAGAAGGTTTGGTCAATAAACAATGTAATTGGAAGGAACATCAAGGAACTGCAAGTACTAGAGGTTGGATAGATTTTCTATGTGAATATTGAGGCTACAAAACGAATGAGGTGTTTAAGAGATAGGCAGTGAGCTTGGTGAGTTAATCTCCATGAAATGAAAAGGTATCATGGGCAGTTCTCAGGCAAATGAGGGACAGTGGAGAGGATAGTTTTAGAGCATGTGCTTCAAAGGAAGCTACACAGAGAGAGAGAGAGGGAAGAAGCAATGATCTGGAAGAAATGGAGAAAACTAGGAGGAAAGTTACCCCTCTGCCAGCTTCAGAAGTCCACAAGGCATAGGAGGAAAATGATCAACATTGTCTAGGGAAATCCAGAAATCAGAGCAAGAAGATGAATGAAAAATTTTTATAAGAGGATGAAATATATAAGGGTTTTGCTGATAAAGGACTGTGAATTTCTGCAAACTGGTACAGTGAAGTTTTAGGGCATTGGAGTTATAAAGCATGAAAATATGAGTTATGAAAGATGACCTAGTAGGTTTGGAGACCATGGACAGTAAAATTATTTTAATTATTTCTAATGATTGTCTCCTAGGCAGAAGTCAATGTTTAGTCCCTATCAGAGCCTTCACAGAGATGGCAAGGTCAAAGCTCAAGGAGACATGGTGATACCATAAATCAAAGTGCAATAGGATAATATATATATATATATTGTTTAACCAATGTCTTTTCAACCTAGAAATTCCCTTTTATCCCATTACTTTTTCAAAGTACAGAAATAGATACCTTCAAGGTATAGATACCTTCAAGGTATCTATTTCTACCATTGAAAAGTTAGGGAGTGGTGAGTTTTAGAAACTAATGTTTTTTAGTTTAAAAATTCTTAACTTTTTAACTACAAAAGTTTAGACCTCAAAGGTATCAGGGCAAATGAAGAAAAGGGGGATAATTTTAGAAGAGTTGCAGTGGAGGAGTTGCTTTAGGAGTAAAGACATTTCTTCCACTGAAACAGGGGTGAGAGAAGGCATAACATGGGCACTGAAACAGAGAAGTTGATGGATTTGGTGAAAGAAGATGAGAAAATACTTGTCTAACTTCCATATTTCTATGAAATATGATGTATTCATTAGCTAAAGACATACCTTAAATGAGTTGAGCTTATCTAGACTTGATGGAGATTAGGCAGAAACCACATTGTAGAACTCCTATTTGAAGCTGAATTCAAATTTTGAGAAATAAAGTTGCATTTATTTGTTTTCTTCTTCTTTTCTTTTAGGGAGTACAAGTTGAATTCTGTTACATGGTGGTCCCCAACCTTTTTGGCACCAGGGTCCAGTTTCCTGGAAGACAGTTTTTCAATGGCCTGGTGGTGAGGGGGCATGGTTTTGGGATGATTCAAGTGTATTGCACTTATTGTGCAGTCAAACCCTTCTGTTAATGATAATCTGTAGTTGCAGCTGCTCCCCAGTGCTAGCATCACCACCTCAGCTCCACCTCAGATCATCAGGCATTAAATTCTCATCAGGAGCATGCAGCCTAGGTCCCTTGCATGTGCAGCTTACAGTAGGGTTCCTGCTCCTATGAGAATCTAATGCCACAGCTGATCTGACAGGAGGCGAAGCTTATGCGGTAATGCAAGGGATGTAGAGTGGCTGTAAATAAGGATAAGGTTTTGCTGGCTTGACTGTCCCTTACCTGCTGTGCTCCCAGTTCCTAACAGGCCACAGACAGGTACTGCTCCACCACCTGGGGATTCGGGACTGCAGCTATTATATGTATATATTGTATAGCAGTAGAGTCTGGACTTTTGGTGTATCCATCACCTGAATAGTGTACATTGTACCCCATAGGTAATCTTTCATACCCTCTCTCTCCCCTTTTAAGCCTCCAATGTCTATTATACCACTCTGTGTGGCCTCATGTAGCTATAGTTTAGCTCCCATTTATGAGAACATGCAGCATTTATTTTTCTGTTTCTGAGTAGTTACTTCACTTATGATAATGGCCTCCAGTTCCATCCAAATTGCTGCAAACATAGTATTTAATTCTTTCTTATCACTGAGTAGTGCTCTATGGTACATATATATATATATATATATATATATATCACATTTTCTTTATCCACTCATCAGTTGATAGATACATAGGTTGATTCTATATCTTTGCAATTAAAGTCACATTTCTTATATAACTGAGTCTTGTGGGCAAATAGTGGTACCCACTCTACGTAGGAGTCCATCTATGACAAATATGTGCACCACAAAATCAAGTAATCTTGAGTTGTTAGATGGGAGAGAATTGGGGGATGAGGCTGACTCCAAAGTCAATATTAATTGCAGATAAACCAGTGGACTGAGTGTGAGCAAATCACTGAATGCTTTAAATTTTCTGGGTAGATGCAGGGGAATCTATATTAGGAAAGAAACAAGAGTTAGCTGAGCCTTATAAATTTCCACAGCATATGGAACACTTAGGAATGAGGTGAAAAATCATCTTTAGAGCCCATTCTTTAAGTTCTGAATTCAAAAAAAAAAAATACTATCTACAAAAACGCAGCAAGACAGAGAGCCCCAGTTACCCTGCAGGGCTGCCAGAAGGCAGTGGCTTGGACACATGGCGGGGAAACAGATATTATTTTTGCAGAGGAATTGGGACTTTGTTGTAAAGCCAGAGAGAACCAATTAGTCCCGGAGAGAGAATTTTTTTAGACAGCTGCTAAACATTTAATCTGAAGTAAGCATCTTTCTTTTGCTTTGCCTTTATGAAAACAGCATTTTTAAAAAAATCTGGGACTCTTAAAAAGAAACCACAGCTAATATCAGCAAAACCCACACAGGCTTAGAAGACTCAACAAATCAGAGAGGGACCACTGACCCCATGCAAGCCTGAGCTCTGCCAATACTTCTTAAACTTGGCAGTTGATGGTAAAAGACTAGCTAATAATCATGCAGAGGGAGTAGATATGGCTAAAACTTTCTGGCTGGGAAACTGACTATATTGTCTGTAAACTGTAAGTAGAACCATAACGCTTGCTTTGCCAAGGACTGTCCCAATCCACACCTATTATCCTGATGTATGATTAATAGTGTCCTCTTTCACTTTTCAAAGTGTGCCAGCTTAGACAAAAGGTATAAGACACCCTATCTCTAAGGAAAGCCAAATTATGAAGACCTTATTTATAAAAGAGAACTTCAGCCTGCATCATGGCTAATATCTCCAGTAGGGTAAGGAGGGATGAGAGTGGCTGGGGCCAGAACTTGGAAAACAGAAATCCTTCATGAAAAACTGGGCAAATCTAGCCAAGGGAATTGCAGATGTTACACACTGTTTAGGCGTAACCCTGCAGAGGGTAAGAAATGTGACCCACAGAACCACAGATTGCATGCATGATTGAGGGACTTACCATTCTTGTGAAATAGATTCTGAACAGAAAATTGCCTCTCACCCTTTTGGTGATTGCAGGCAAGGGCGAAAACATCTAAATGAGCAGTCAACTTTCTGAGAACACAGAGTTACTAGAACAAAATAACACTTGAAATAGAAATCATTGATTCTTTCTTGTCCTTTCTCTCAGTCACATTAGTACATCAGCAAAGTTGCCAGGGGAGGTTTGCTAACAAAGACAAGCAGAAGGTGGAGGTGGGTGGGGGTGGGAAGCTGGGGGAGGGGGTGGCTTTTCAGAAGCAGAAATCAAAGCATTTGGGTTTGGGGACCAGGGGACACAAACAATGAGCCTAGGAGAATGTCTGCTGACATAACAGCCAGTGCTCCAGCTAAGATTTTATAACGTGTGTAGAAAGTAAAGATAGCCTGAGCTGGGGCAGAGGGATGAGAAGAGAAAAAAGGGAGATGAGAAGGAAGCAGGAGAGTGTGCTAATGAGTCCCTGAGGCGGCCCAGGGTCCTTCACCTGCCTCTTTCCCCAGGCTGAGCCTGGGGAAGAAGTGGGCAGAAATCCTTCTTTAGTTTGGCAGGATCTGAGAGATGAAGAGTCTGTGCCTCAGTTTCCAAGTGGAGTGAGAGGTAACAAGCTTTGCTGAGTTCCCTTCTAATGCAGCATGGCAGAGCATTATCTAAGTAGATATCTCTGACACAGAATTCTCCTGAGCTAAATGTCTCTCATGTGTTTAAAAAAAAAAAAAAGTGTGAAAATAGCCAAGTGTAAAGTGAAACCAGAAAGTCCTTGCAGACAGGATGTGGTAATAACTGGTGTGGAAACTTTGAAGGAAGGTGATTTCTCCGCACAGATGCCTGCCTGCCTAGATGCCTGAGAGCCCAGGACAGGATGCACTCCACCATACCTGGCTCCTTCATGACCCATCCCCACCCCCTGGAATACAGAACAACAGTGCAGATGAGGGCGGAGGTAGCAAGAATGGTAACAAACATTTATATAGGGCTTTCTATGGACCAGGCACTATTCTGTGTAGTTTACATATATTAACACATTTAATTCTAACAACCACCCTATTATGTAAGTACCACTATAAAATTCACTTCATAGATGAGGAAAAAGGCATATAGAGGTTAAGAATAAAAATCCCAAATTAATTTAAAAGAAGTAGAATTGATTGACAGCAATTTTATAATGCCTTCAAGACCAGAGAACTCAAAGAAAAGATTTAAGCATACACGTATTTTTATTTATACATAATACATATTAATATATTGCACGCCTAATGTTCACACAGATTTAAACTCACTAAAAATGCCTATTGTGAACTTTTAAATGTGAAGTGTTAAATGTAAACTAGGTAATATATAATCAAAATAACAGCATATTTGGCACAAAATCACAGAAAAAGTAAGAGTAACTTGAGCAATTCAGAAAAATGGGAAACTCTAAAATCTGTCCTTTTCTCTTTACCATAAAACTAGTCTTTCAACTTTCCCTTGTTCTCCCACTTATCAACTAACTCCTGGCTTCATTTTTCTCTCTTCATTGGCCTTTCCCTAAAATAAATCATTTTATCAACACCCTAAATTCCCTCACGATATCTCTATTTAGACCACATTTCTTGTCTTTTCTATCTAGTTCCTCCTTTAACTTTAGTATAGCCCACAGGAAGAATAAAAATGGAAGCTCACATACCATTGAATATATGTTCTCTCTCCCTACCTTAACAAATATACCTTCCTAATAAAGATATAATTCCTTCCTAATGACAAAATCCAAAGACATGTGTAACACTGATTTCATAAGGCTGAAAACTAGCAAAATTGAAGACAAATGAATTTAGTTACTGTTGTAGATGCCTGGTTGTACTGTTGATGGACTATCAATGTATGAATGAATAATAAAGACAAGCATAATTTATGAATTATCATACATTTGTTAAATAAAATGTGTTTTTCTTGCTTTCTTATTAGCAAAATAATTACGTGATAATAATCAATATTCTCACCTATGTTGTGTTCTACTGGCAACAATTATCCTAAAAGATAAAAAGATAATATGTAATTATATTCAGTATATACAAAGCTTGAGTGTGATTTCATTAAAAAAATATTAATATACAAGTAACAAAATCCAACTTGTACCCCTTAAATCTACTAAAATAAAAAAATTTAAAAGTAAATTAAAATTAATGTAAGATATTCAAAAATTAAAATGATTTTCTATATACTCAAAGCATTATCTTATGAAATATTCAATATTAGCTATTAAATTTATAAAGCAAAGACAAATAATGAATATTAAACATTTTTATTTTATTTTGAAAAATTTACATAAATATTACTGTATATGTTAGTAAAATTAAAATTACAATTATAGTGTTCAATTTTCAGCAGGTTGATTGGGTATCACAGTTCATGTTACATCTAAAAGTAATATAAATTGTTTAGTAGTATAAAATGTTCCTCAGCCACCATGTGCAACTGCTGTGAATGCTGTTATAATTTGTGATTTATACTGGAACCACAAATCGCAACACGAAACATGAAACAGTATGCTTGGTATTATGGGAAATGATACTTTATAATGCAAGAATCTACATTCTTCATGTCTGTGAGAAAGAATTTGACAAGTTAATTTGTCTTTTTTATGTTAGATAAATGATTCTCCTGCCTAAATCTTCTCTGCACCCAAAGCATTATCTGCCTCTGACACTGGCAAGGAAACTGACCACAAACATTCATGGCATTAAGTACAGCTGCTTTTCATTTCAAGGGTGTCCAGGGTATAGGAAAGGATATACATAAAGAACTAATTCCCTGGAGCTTGTGTGGTATTAGTCACCAGAGTGGTTATAAGTCATGCTATTCTATCTTGGAACATCAGCTCTTAAGAAACAAAACCATAATTCTTTTCCCTAACTAATATGGAAATGTTTACACATACACACAGGTGGCGAGAATATTAATCATTACTCAACTTCCACTGTTATCATTATGATCATGCATTCTTTAATAAGTGTGAGCTCCATCATAAAAATTTTAAATTCAGAAAAATAAAATGTTTACTTCTTTTTATAGATTTTGTTTTGATAAATGTAGATATCAAATTTTTCTCCTACAACTGAATTCCATTGGCTTCAGATGGGACCAACTCTGTGTTCCTTACCTCCATGGGGAGAACACATCTCAGCCATGGCCAATCCAAGTGTCTTCTTTCCACAGCTAAAATGTTCAATGACAGGAGCATGTCTCAGATCAGACAGACCAAACTATCCCAGAAATGATTTGCTGGAACTGTTTTTCTTTCCCCTGGGAGATGTCGAAGCTGGGAGTTAGGAGTCTGGGATTGCTGATGGCCATCTTGCCTGTCACGTGCCTGGTCCTAGGACGAAAAATGAAGCCAGGCAGAGACAAACAGAACCAGGAAAGAGAGTCTGAGCCCTTTTGACAAAGCTTGAGCTCCTGGAGCTCAATTAAGCCGTAATTAAAGCCAAACAGACACAGAAAACTAAGAAATATAGTCAGAGCCCAATAGCATTATTGAAGTTCCTGGACTCCCTTTTTTTCAAAGTTTGGCTACACCTCTGGCCTTACAGTTAGTTACATGAATTGATAAATTCTTTTTGCTGAAATACAGAGTTCAGTGTCTTGCCTTCTGCACTCAAAGAGCAGTAACGAACACTTTAAGTTCATCTGTGATAGATGATTACTGATTCATATAATAGGCACTTTCTAGACATGGCAAGCAGGGGTGGAGGGGAGGGGGCAGGAGTGTGTGCTCACATGTTCAGTGTGGACAGGAGTGGTACAGACTATACCACGGTAAACAACGGGTACAGCAGACTATCTCCCAGCTGGCTGAGTAGTATTGAATGATCTATGAAGCAAAGTGAATTGATTTAGTGTCCCCAAATAACAGACATTTAAGTTGTGATTAGAGGGTTCCAAATAGTGAAGGTGCTCATGGTATAAATGACATTGCATGACATGAAGAAGAAAATCACCATCATTACTTCCATCTCTGCTGTCTGCACTTCCTTACCAGTTCACACTTTCCAGGCAGCTCAAAATTCTGGAGTTGTGAGACAGTAGTGCTATTCCAATTATTTTATTTTGAAAGATGACCTTTTAAAATTGCAATAAGAATATTAACACTATTCATAATCTTTATGAAAAAATAGAAAATGGGGTACTTGGGAAAATCTATTTTATTTTTTAAAACCCCTTTATTGAGCTATGGTTTACATACAGCAACCTATTCATATTTAATATATACTACATAATGAGTTAGGAAATAAGTATGTACTGTGAAACCATGACCACATTGTATGTCATAAACATTATCCATCACCTCCAAAAGCTTCTTATTTATTATTCTTGTTACCATTATTATTTTGTGTAATAAGAACATTTAATATAAAATCTAACCTCTTGGCAAATTTTTAAGAAAAAAATACATTTTAATTTAGCAATCTCTATGAATAGTAGCACATATGTAAGAAATAGTAAAATACAGTCAGAATAGAGCTTTCTCTGTTCATTTTTTTTGTCTTGAAATGCACTTGGCTACAAACTGTCAATTTAGAATAACAAATCACTAAGTTTAAATTTTTTGATAATTAGTTGCCTAAGAGACCATATAATCCCAACAATAAAGTTGAATTATTTCATTACTAAAGAGCCACAGTAAAAAACAAAACAAAACAAAAAAACATAGTAATTTGATTAAATTAAAATGTTTTCCAGTAATTGGAAACAAAGATTTAAAGCTTTTCATTGTTTTAAAGGAATTAAGACTTACCATAGGGAAAAGGTTTCACATTGAGAGCATCATAGTAGCCAATTTTAAAATTATATACTGTCATCCTCGCTAAAAATTAAAAACTTATGATCGGACTTAGGCTAGGTAAGTCTTATTTACTAAAGATCTTTTGTTCAGAATATAATGTCAAAAAATTCCATAAGATACTATGAAATATATAAATACAGATTATATTAACATGAATATTACTTACATGAAGATTTACTTATTGTTACATGGTAGTTTTGTTTTATTGTGCATAATTCATCAAATAGAAAAGGTTTTTTCTTAGTGAAAAAGTATGTTTTATGTCTAGCTCCATATTTCTTGGAGACTATATGTTCAAATATAAATAGCTATAGATTTATTGTAAATATATTAAACAAACTAGAAGAATCTTTCAAGAATCGTGTAACCTAAACTGATGATAACTTCATAGTTTTATTATATCAAAATACTTATATGGAAAGTAAATAATTTGATTAAATCATTCAGTTATTTTTATGTGACTAATAGAAAATAGCATTTATTGAATTTAAGTATAACATTAAGTATTGAGTCTTTAAAAATATACCGCTAGAAATTTTAAAGACCTGTGGACATTACCAAAAAATTATTGAAAAAGTGAATATAGCTACAGAAAATACACTTGAAATAAATTTCTTGATTTCCATACATAGAATCTCACATTCAAATTTTTAAATTAGACACAGAATTTACTATACAACAGTGATAAGTGATAAAACCTCCTCTTTTCCAAACATTCATGAGTTATAATTGTTTAGATTTTTGTTGTCTTTTGTTTATATATACACACATATGTATATATGTATATATGTGTATATATTTGCACATAAGTTCTTCATATAGAATGAGGTTACTGAGTCAAAACAGCTTAAAAGAGGCTGACTGCAGTGATTCACAACTGTAATACCAGCACTTTGGGAAGCCAAGGCAGGATTCCTTGAGGCTAGAAGTTTGAAACTTGCCTGAGCAACATAGCAAGACATCATCTATAAAACAACAACAAAAAAATTAGCTAGACAGGTAGTCCCAGCTACTCAGGAGGCTGAGGCAGGAGGATCACTTGAGCCCAGGAGCTAGAGGTTGCAGTGAACTATGATCATTCCACTGCACTCCAGCCTGGGGGACAGAATGAGACTCGGCCTCTAAAAAAAAGAAAAAAAAAGCTTTAAAGTTGGTGGCCTTTGCAAAGCAAAAATCTAAGAACATTTAATTCATTGTGGTTCCCAAACTGTGATTGCTAGATCCATTTTCCTGCTATTAAAAACTGTTTAAAGCATATTAAAAATATTATTTCATCAACACAGTATCCAATTGCTTACTAAAACATCTGTGCTATTTTCCATTTCCACTGGCATGAGTGAGAATAATTTATTAAAATCAAACTCTTACTATATACAAGGCACTGTGCTAAGCACATTCTAATCATCTCATTTAAATTTGCATTAATCACCTTATGAGGTAGCTGCTACTGTTATTCTCAATTTCTGGTGGTACAATGGATGCTTGCCCAAGACCCTACAACCCATAATTGTTAAACAGCACTTTCAGTCATGTTTGTATACTTCCAGAGCTCAAGCTTTTAACCACTGCTTCATCTTGGCTAATTCAACAGTCAAAAAAAGCACTTGCATTTTATTCACATTTTTATTATTTTTCAAACATTTATTGTTTCTCCTTTGTGAACTTTCTAGTATTGTCTCTTATTAATTTTTTAATTTGAGTACCAATACTTTCTTTATTATTTTATTTGTGTTCATTTATATTATCTATGGAAATATAAGTATTTTTCCAAATTTTTATCTTTCCTTTATTTTTATATAAGGAATTCTTAAATAGCAAAATCTAAAGACCTTTTTTAGAATAGAATTTTGAAAGATCATCTGGGCCAATTTTCTCATGTAATATTTGAGGAGATATATTCACACACTCACCTAATTGCTAAACTGAATATAACCTGGGAGGCAGCAGGTAAGATACATATTATATTAACATTATAATACCAAATTTTTATTGGAATTTCCAAAGTTTATTACAACCATTATTCTTGAATTAGATTTTTTTATTCTTTTGTGAAATTTATGTAGAATGAAAATATGTAGTTGTCTTACACACTAAAACATACGATCTAAAAGAAAGTATACTTGGCATTCTATAGAAAAGACATCTTCAATAGCATGTTTATAGCAGCATAATTCACAATTGCAAAGATGTAGCTACAACCCAAGTATCTATCAACACATGAGTAGATTAATAAAATGCAGTATATATATATACCATGGAGTTCTACTCAGCCACAAAATCAATGGTGATATAACACCTCTTGTGTTATTATTCTGGATAGAGCTGGAGCCCATTCTACTAAGTGAAGTATGACAAGAATGGAAAACCAAGCACTATGTGTACTCACCATCAAATTGGTATTAACTGATCAACACTTAAGTGCACATATAGTAGTAACATTCATCGAGTGTCGGGCAGATGGATAGGTATGGGGAGGGTGGATAGGTATATTCACACCTAATGGGTGCAGTGCGCACTGTCTGGGGGATGGACATGCTTGAAGCTCTGATTCTGGTGGGGCAAAGGCAATATATGTAACCTAAACATTTGTACCCCTGTGACATGCTGAAATAAAAAATAAAATAAAAAAGAAAGTACATACGCATACATAAACTATGGCTAAATGATGTAAAATACTGAGATATATGGTATGTATACCTGACCTTTTCCCCTCCAATTTTACCTAGACCAGTGGAATACACAAACACACCCACTATCAGAATAGAAATGCACCATGATTTTCTGGGCTTTCCCTGCCCCTTTCCAATTTTGGAAACAATCCTGACCTAAATCCAGGGAGGTAGTAGAGGGGGCTTGAATGTCACCTTTGCTATGCTACTGGTCCTGTTATGAACTTCTAGGATTTTATTTTTTTTTGTGTGATAGATGAAAATAACACGACAATGTCAATATAAGGATGAGTAAATGTTTGGCAAAATGAATTCCAAGGAGGAAATTCAAACATTTGTTGGAAGCCAAATAATTTCATTTTTGCTTTATGCTATGCCTTTCCAATTTGTCTGTAACCATAAATATTTATAATCTAGAGTTTACTGTATCTCACAGGATAGAATATGACCTTGCAAGTTTCCCTCACAGAAAACCCCTCTGTGTTAATGTGAAGGAAAAAATAAGATGATAAAACCAAAGTCTGTTTCCAACCATCAGCAAAAATTTTCACACCCTTAACTCCTATTTTTGTTTAGGAAAAAAAGATAGTGTGAGTCATTATGGAAAACAATCCCTCCCACTCCTGATGGCCCCATCCCTTCCTGCAGTTCTCCAAACACATACATACACACACACACACACACACACACACACACACACTTTCTCTCTCTGTCTGAGAATTCAGTCCAAGAAATACAAGAGGGACAAGTTTGTAGAGACAAGTTCATTTATAACAGTGTAATGTTAACATTTTCTACAAAATACAGTAAAATGTCGAGAGGACCGATTCAAATGGGAGCTGTAAAGCATTTTTTAATGCTCTTTGTTCTTTATAATTCTTTGATTAAAAGTAAAACAGTGATGATACAATCCATAGGGCTGCATGCTAATGGAAGATAAAGAACTGCTTTGTAATGTGAAACTTTGTCTCCACACTACATGACTTCAAGTGTACCAAACTCCTTACACGGAAAAATGGTTTTCAGCAGAGTACTGGGCTCACTGTAAAGATGATCTCACATTGCTAAATGGGCTTGGAGCTGCTCTCCTAATTGACTTTTCCATGGTTTGTTGTGTGGTGTTACACATACTAATGTGCCATCCTAGACGAATCTGAGTTTTCAAGAGT